GTTTTACTGCTTTACTTAGCTAGTTTATGCTTTGGTTCTGTACTTAAGTAGTTAATGCGTTTAGCATTAGAATGTGTGGTTAAAAAATATATATATAATCACACCTATTTAAAAGTGTGATTAAAAAGTAGTAGTGTATATATAATCACACTTTAATTAGAAGGTGTGATTAAAAAATATATAAATAATCAATCACACTTTAATTAGAATGTGTGGTTAAAAAATATATATATAATCACACCTATTTAAAAGTGTGATTAAAAAGTAGTAGTGTATATATAATCACACTTTAATTAGAAGGTGTGATTAAAAAATATATAAATAATCACACTTTAATTAGAATGTGTGATTAAAAAATATAAATATAATCACACTTGTTTAAAAAGTGTGATTAAAAAGTAGTAGTGTATATATAATCACACTTTAATTAGAAAGTGTGATTAAAAAAATATATATATAATCACACTTAATTGAAAAGTGACATAAAAAATAAATATTATCACACTCAATTAAATTAAGTGTGATTAAAATATCAATCTAATGTTTTTTATCACACTTCCAATAAAAATGAGATCTTTTTTTTTGTCAAAGTGTGATCTTTAACCATTTTTGTAGTAGTGTTAGATGCTTAAAATCAAACTCAAATGACAACCTCCACATATATATACACATGCAAGTGGAAGTATAGTCAAATCATCCATCCTCTTCACAACCATATGTAAATTACATGCAAATGATCCTAACAACTCCATGAATGCATCTTTATAACACAACTTCTTCATGAATTATGGGTTAGATGCTCATCAAAGGCCCTCAATTACACAAGATCCTTGCCAAACTTGAGCTACTCTAGCAAAATTCTTCACTTCTTCCTTGAATCCACACTTTCTCTCTCTAAAGTGGAGTCTCACTCTCACTCAAGAATGTATTCTCAAATTTTTGCACTAAGGGATAAAAAAAATGAGCTCAAAATGAATTTAAGGCCCATATATAAAGCTATAATGTCAAAAATGCATTAATTGGATTATTAAGCTAGCCAAACGCAACTTAACGAATCAGACTGAATCAATTTTTAATAAAATTGGCCAGATGATTCTAAAAATTCCAAATAACACATTGGTGTAGTCAATTTCGGTTTCGGATGCCGATAAGGCTTTCAATTTTCATATCAAAGCGGAATTCTAAACAGATATTTCTACAAGTAACAAATAGAAAGCCAAACCTCATGCAATTTACATAATAATCCCGTAATTTATTTTATTCACCTAATTAACATCCTTAATTACTGATTTGTAGCTAATTACGGGTCGGGGTTATTACAACAGATAAAGCCCTAGGCTTGTACAAAAGGCAAATAAATACAAATAAACAAAAGTGAGCTATCAGCATCACAATCCTCCCAAGCTAAGTCCTTGACGGAGGCATATCACCAGCACCTGAAAATATTTTCTCAAGGTGAGCCACATCAAAATCCGGAATAATCTAATATAGTATATGAGGTTTAACAATGGTATAAGTGTAATGTGCTTTTACAATACCGAAAGTAAAATGATCACATTTTATATAGCTATAGAACACCAAGTTACATTACATTTCATTTCATTTCCCTTCAATCCATCCCAATACCTGAATCGATTTCATTATTTTTCCAATAACCTAAACTGAGGTTACAATTTAATGGTTTCCAAATCATACAACACATACACATAAAACACTTCAAACTTCCATTTCACGGATATTTCGTCCGCGGGCAGCCGTCAAACGAGACCCATGTAAACGTAGGCTATACAAGCGTTACAATTGCCATTTTACGGATATTTCGTCTGTGGGCTAGGCACCCATGTATAATTTGGAGACTTTCACCCAGGACACTCCGGTCAACTTAATTATAATGGAATCCATCGCATTCCTCCTCCTAAACAATCATTCATACATATGCAATGTATATAAACACATAATTACACATGGAGTACATCCATTTTCTTCTCCAAAATAATCATACATATACAATGTATATAAGCATAGTCATATTCAATGACAACCAACAAAAGGTTAATTTCAATTCACCTAGTCCACATGCAATTTCTACAACAATCATAACTATCCTCCATCGATAGCCCTAAACAAATATTTCCAAGCAGTTGTACAAACTTCACAATAGATAAACTATCCATATGTCCATCGATAAGAAACGACAATTTTCCAACTCCATCATTAATATACACGTCTAACCAATTTCACATTTATTGAACCAATTCCATGATTTATACAAAATAACCATTTGAAACATTTTAGAGCAACACTCCATTTCCTCCCAAATACAATCCGTTTGCCAAAATCAACAAGTTTGATACAACACAATCTCATACCCATACCTATAAACAATTCAACACCTTTACTTTGAAAATCCCTCTTTTGATTTTAAACCAAAACCCTAGGTTTGTCTAAAATCACCCAAATCCCAACCTTTATTTGCAATATCATTAAATACCCAAGTTAAAAATCATACAAGAGTATAGAAAGTCCCTACCTCAAGCTTAGAAGAGGGAGAAGGAAGAAAAGCCCAAAAGTCGACGGAGGAGAAACGACGTTTTGCTCTGATCAAAATAAAGCCCTCGATAAGCTCTACAATTAATCTCAAAGAAGCAAGGCGATGAGAGGTCTCCAAGTGAGTAGATCTAAGGATCTTTGAGTGAAAAAAGTGCTTTATGACAGAAAGAAAGAGTTTCACGGTTTAGAGGGATAAATGAGAAGAAAAAGTAAAGAAAAGAACAAGTGGTGGACCTATTTATAGTACTAGGTCAAAATAAAACATAAACGCTAAAGTCAACCCAAAAATCTGGTCAAAAACCCAAAAAGTAGGGCCCAAATTGACTAAAAAAATCTGGAAAAAGTTTGCAGGTGTCGACACCTGCAGCAGAGGTGTCGACCCTTATGAAGAAAAGCTGGAACACTTATGTTTGACAGCATGCAAGGTGTCGATTCTTCCCAGACTGGTGTCGACACCAGATTTCAGCAAGCAATTTCAGGACAAGGGTCAATTCTTCCCAAACTGGTGTCGACCCTTGAGGCCAATAATAAAAGGAAGGTGTCGACACCACCAAGACCGGTGTTGACCCTATAACAAGATTTTTAGTTTTCCAAACAACTTTTCAATGTAAACAAGCGTGAACGAGCAATTCCCAACAAGTTTAAATCAATTTATACTCCTCCAAAACCAAGATACAACAACTCAAAGATTCTCAAAATAAAATAAAAGATTCAAATACACTTCCCAAAAGCTTTGAAGGACACAAGTGTTAAATCTATATCATTTTTTTTTTCCATATAAAAAACTGTGGGACCCATGCTAACAACATGGCTTTTTAATTGAACATTTTCGTTGTTTATTGATTGGACATTGCCAGTGGTATCAATTTTTTTATTAAATAAATGACTAAGGCCTTGTTTGGTTTGTGTTTCTCAAAAAATTTTGGGAAAAATTCTCTACAAATAAGTTTTCAAAAGTAATCAAACCAAACAAATTTTCTCAAAATTTTTTTTCCAAAACTTGTTTGGTTTACAAGTTTTCCAAACAAATCTCTCTCTCATATACATCAAATCAATCACTTTTTCCAAAACTCTCTCTCAAAATAATTTTTCAAAACATCTTTTGAAAAAAAATCAAACCAAACAAATTTTCGTACTTTTTATCTCAAAACATGTTTCTCAAATACAAACCAAACAAGCCCTAAATGTTTCATATGAATATAAATGTTAAGTCCGTACTACAATGATTGAGACCCCCTTTTTTTGAAGACCCCCACAACCCCATTTGGATCTCAACCATTGATGGTGTAGGCCCTACACATATCAATGGTTGAAATCCAAAGGGGGTTGTGGGGGTCTTTAAAAGAATGGGGTCGCAAGCATTTTTCTTTTATGACCCACCCATACGACACATTTAATCATTTTGTACAAAATTTGGGACTATAAGGCCGTGTTTGGTTGTGTTCTGGAAATGTAATTCTACCCCTCCATTTACATTTCATGTTTAGATAGAGTTTTTAAAATGTGATTCCACCACACATTTCAAAATGTAATTCTCCTTTACGTTTGGCTACACTCTCTCGTTTGTGTTCTCCATTCTAAAAAGTATAAGATTTTTAAATTTTGGGTCTACCTAGATGTCCGGTCGATTGACCGTGACAGTGTCATTTTTTATTTTTATTTTTATTTTTTTGCAATTGTCAATCACCAATCGCTTCTTGTTATTTGGGAAAAAAAAATTATATTTGGTTTTGATATTTCTTAAATATAAAAATTATTTTTTTAAACCAAAATGGCATTTTTTTTTTATTTGAATGTTAAAAAGAGTTTGGTCATGAGTTTTTAATATAATTTTCAATAGAGTGTTTGGTTATGAGTCATAACTTTTTGAGTTATTTTCAATTAAAATAATTTTTATGTTATTTTTTATTAATAATTAATTTTTTAAATTAAATTTTAAAAAGAGTTTTGTTATGAGTGATATTTTTTTGTTAATAATCAATTTTTTAAATTGAATTTTAAAAAACATTTGGTTATGAGTGTTATTTTTTTTTTTTGTTAATAATTAATTTTTTTAATTGACTTTTAAAAAGGGTTTGATTATGAGTGTTGATAAGAAATTTCAATAGAGTTTTGTGTTATGTATTTAGTTATGACTTATAACTTTTCGAATTAAGTTTAAATTTTTTTATTCCACATGTCATATCAAACATTTAAAACTCTTTTAAAATTCATAACAATGTTAGGTAATTCAAAATTTTGTGGCTCAAATGGCTCAAATCACTCAAAACGACGTCGTTTTGACAGATTTTGAGTATAATACGACGTCGTTTTAATAGATTTGAGCCATTTAAATCATAAAATTTTAAGATACCAAACATTTTCTTAAAATTCATAACCAAATAAATTTTCTCAATTCCTCTATGTAGCTCGAATAAGCCTTCCCAAATGGCTCAAATGAGTTGGAATCTGTTATTGTAGGGTTTGGCCCATTTGCCCCAAGTCAGCGTGAAACCCACGCGTTTACAAAACAAAGAAACGTAAGAGAGAGGACCATGAAGTTGAATGTGAGAACAGAGCTGTGTTGCCTCTGAAGTCGAGCGACCGACCATGGTGTTCACCGTCGACCAGTGACCATCGACCGCCGTCCACCACTCTCTCTCTCTCTCTCGATTAGCGACCTTGTTATTGTTGTTAGGACCTTGCTATTTTCATTCCTCTCTGTTTCTTCTTTATTCTCTTTCTTCTCCAATCAGGTAAACTCAAAGATGAGTACAACTTTAATTGATTGCTGCTATTTCATATTGATGCCATAATCATATTATTTTTTCTTTCTTCTATTCTTATAGTTGATTTTTTTTTTCTTGATTTTTTCTGAGATTGAAAGGAATGCATCTTGGAGAAAGAGGTTCACATGTGCGAACATGGCTATATATAATTGAGCATCTTGCATCTTGCAAATAGTTCTGCAAATAATTGAGCATCTTGCATTTGTTTGAATGCATCTTGCAGAACTATTTTGAAAGGGATAAGAAAGAGGGATAAAAGAGTGCATTTTGAAGAGAGGAGAGAGAGAACAATTATCACAGCTTTCTTGGGTCTGGTTTGAGAGAGATAGAGAGGAGAGAGAAAAACATGCGTGTGTTTGATTTTGGGGTGAGTTTTGGAGAGAGAATGGTTGCCAACACCTTCTATCAAATTCGGGTGATTCGTGCCTCAAATTTCGAGCTACCAATCAGTGTGTTTGGTTTGAATTTTTTGAATTAAGTTTTTTGAAAATTAGATTTTTTAGTTTTCGTATTTTTTTATTTTTAGTGAATATTTTAAAAGTTTTAAACATTTTTTTTATCTTTTTAGATGCACCTTATTTAGATGTATTTAAAAAGTAAAAAATTTGTGAAAAAATATTTTTAAAAATTAATAAATACATAAAAATATAAAAAATATACTGAATTCTCGTATTTTTTTGTATTTTTGATATTTAGTGAATTTTTAAAAAATTTTTTTTAATTTTTTTTTACTTTTTAAGTATATTTATGTTAGGTATGTTTAAAAATTAAAAAAATGACTCAAAATATTAAAAAAATTCAATAAAAACAAAAAAACATGAAAAATAAAAAAATAAAATTTCTGAAAAGTATTTTTAAAAAATGGTAACCAAGCATCTTTTTTCAAATTTTCTTAAATCATAATTTCAAAACACAAATTCAAAATATAATTTTATTATCAAATCATATTTAAAACCTGTACCAAACCGCACTTAACATTTTCCTTTTTAATTTTTTGGTATTTCCGAAATAGGTCTCTGATTTCAGTTTGTACTTGTGTCTCGCAGACTCCCCACCAGCGATCTCCCTCATCGCGACAACCAAAACTTAATCGGCATCCCTCTGGCGAAGTTCTCCGGCACCGGCAGCCCCACGGCAACAACCTCCACCGGCCAGTCCAGCTCCGGGTACTACTAATGGCGTGTGTGGTATTATGGTTATGTTTTATTAATGAGTTTTGTCTAATTTCTCAGCCTAATCAAATTTTATTTGTCAAATTTATAGCTTTATTATCGGGTTGTTCTTCATTTTCAAGTAAATTTGAGTGTTTGTCAAGCTCAAGTAAATTTATTCATCAGTGCCTTACATCTGCCTTTGTTTGCAATATAGTTCAGAATAGTTGGTTGTGGCATACCAAACTGATGGTAAGTTGATAGTGCAGAGGATAATATTGCAAAGTTAATTGAAGTTTATTTTTTTAAATAATGGATCGGGCTAAGTTGATGGCTTTCATCTGCATCTGTTATTTTATTTATTGATTTGGAAGTTATATTACCGATATTCCATTGATTTGGAAGTTAAAATCTACATTTTTTGTTTATTTCAAAATTTTAATATATTTATAACATAATTATGACGTCACAGTCGATTATGGTTGAGTTGATGGATAAGAGTTTCAAAATTGACATGAGATGTGGTAATAGTACAATAGATGTCAATTTATTTAATTTAATTAAGCATATAGCCATGGATAGAGTGGAATGGCGAAAAATGATTCAACTAACCGATCCCACTTAATTGGAACACAGGGCTTACCTTAGTTTGGTTTATGTCGTTTTTGGATTGGTTGTGACCAATTGTTATAATTTGTAAACCTTGCTACACTCTATCATCTTGTATAAATCCAAATTTTGGTTATTTTGTTCATGTTGTTCCATCTATTCTCCTCTCCTCTCTCTCTAGTCTCTGCCACTGCCACATCAATGGACTCCCACTCCGAGTCTATATCATTGCCAAACAACAAGTTTACCCCTGTCAGATCATAATAAGATGTTTTGCCTCTCCCCTCTCTATTTATGCTGGTTGATGTTTCTCCTCTCTCCCCTCCCTTGCTAAGGCAATGAAATGGCGTGTCTTGTGCAATCCAGGAGTGTTGAAGGCAGCCTTGGTGTTGATGACTTTGTACTTGGACTGCTACATACTGGGTCAACGTGTCCCTACCTCTGTGACCGCCATTCTCAACCTCTCCTCACCATTCCCTGAGGTATGTGATCCAATCCCAACTATTAGCGTGCTTCAGTTATTTTTTTTGTCTTTTCTTTATTTTTTTTCGTGTCATTTGTCTATAATCAATGATAGATTGGTTTGGTTTTTTTGCTTGTATATATGTTTGTGGTGGTGGTTGTAATGTTCAATCTGTTTTAGTAAGGTAGGAATTGGGCAAACATAGTAACAAATCATTGGGTAAACACTGTTGTTTTACAGAATGACATTGTTTCAGATCTTTATTTGTAGTTATGTATGTATAAATATGGTTTTATGTATATGCTTGTGGTGATAGACTGATAGTTTCAATAGCGTTTTTAGTTTCAGAAAAGTGCATCTCAAATGAGGTAAATACCTAAAGAAAATGTCAATCCTTTTTAATAAGGAAGTAGATTGGGGTTTAATACATTCAGGTGGAACCACATTTCGGTTCTAATGAAAGATTGGTTTAGTTATGGGTGCAAAAATTTGGAACTGATCAACGTTGGTTTGGTTAAGAGTTAGACATCAACCTGAACCAAACTGACCCTTACACATCCCTCAGTACTCCATTGCATAGGAAATCAAAATCATTCTCAATAGGTGTAGTGTGGAGTGAGAGTGTAACGGGGTAAGGTAAGGAAAGTGGCCCGCAGAGATAATGTTTCCAGTGTTCAGCAATTACTGTCCCTCCCCTCGGTTCTCTTTAAATCATAATTTCAAAACACAAAGGGGGGGGGGGGGGGGGGGGGGGGGGGGGGGGGGGGGGGGGGGGGGGGGGGGGGGGGGGGGGGGGGGGGGGGGGGGGGGGGGGGGGGGGGGGGGGGGGGGGGGGGGGGGGGGGGGGGGGGGGGGGGGGGGGGGGGGGGGGGGGGGGGGGGGGGGGGGGGGGGGGGGGGGGGGGGGGGGGGGGGGGGGGGGGGGGGGGGGGGGGGGGGGGGGGGGGGGGGGGGGGGGGGGGGGGGGGGGGGGGGGGGGGGGGGGGGGGGGGGGGGGGGGGGGGGGGGGGGGGGGGGGGGGGGGGGGGGGGGGGGGGGGGGGGGGGGGGGGGGGGGGGGGGGGGGGGGGGGGGGGGGGGGGGGGGGGGGGGGGGGGGGGGGGGGGGGGGGGGGGGGGGGGGGGGGGGGGGGGGGGGGGGGGGGGGGGGGGGGGGGGGGGGGGGGGGGGGGGGGGGGGGGGGGGGGGGGGGGGGGGGGGGGGGGGGGGGGGGGGGGGGGGGGGGGGGGGGGGGGGGGGGGGGGGGGGGGGGGGGGGGGGGGGGGGGGGGGGGGGGGGGGGGGGGGGGGGGGGGGGGGGGGGGGGGGGGGGGGGGGGGGGGGGGGGGGGGGGGGGGGGGGGGGGGGGGGGGGGGGGGGGGGGGGGGGGGGGGGGGGGGGGGGGGGGGGGGGGGGGGGGGGGGGGGGGGGGGGGGGGGGGGGGGGGGGGGGGGGGGGGGGGGGGGGGGGGGGGGGGGGGGGGGGGGGGGGGGGGGGGGGGGGGGGGGGGGGGGGGGGGGGGGGGGGGGGGGGGGGGGGGGGGGGGGGGGGGGGGGGGGGGGGGGGGGGGGGGGGGGGGGGGGGGGGGGGGGGGGGGGGGGGGGGGGGGGGGGGGGGGGGGGGGGGGGGGGGGGGGGGGGGGGGGGGGGGGGGGGGGGGGGGGGGGGGGGGGGGGGGGGGGGGGGGGGGGGGGGGGGGGGGGGGGGGGGGGGGGGGGGGGGGGGGGGGGGGGGGGGGGGGGGGGGGGGGGGGGGGGGGGGGGGGGGGGGGGGGGGGGGGGGGGGGGGGGGGGGGGGGGGGGGGGGGGGGGGGGGGGGGGGGGGGGGGGGGGGGGGGGGGGGGGGGGGGGGGGGGGGGGGGGGGGGGGGGGGGGGGGGGGGGGGGGGGGGGGGGGGGGGGGGGGGGGGGGGGGGGGGGGGGGGGGGGGGGGGGGGGGGGGGGGGGGGGGGGGGGGGGGGGGGGGGGGGGGGGGGGGGGGGGGGGGGGGGGGGGGGGGGGGGGGGGGGGGGGGGGGGGGGGGGGGGGGGGGGGGGGGGGGGGGGGGGGGGGGGGGGGGGGGGGGGGGGGGGGGGGGGGGGGGGGGGGGGGGGGGGGGGGGGGGGGGGGGGGGGGGGGGGGGGGGGGGGGGGGGGGGGGGGGGGGGGGGGGGGGGGGGGGGGGGGGGGGGGGGGGGGGGGGGGGGGGGGGGGGGGGGGGGGGGGGGGGGGGGGGGGGGGGGGGGGGGGGGGGGGGGGGGGGGGGGGGGGGGGGGGGGGGGGGGGGGGGGGGGGGGGGGGGGGGGGGGGGGGGGGGGGGGGGGGGGGGGGGGGGGGGGGGGGGGGGGGGGGGGGGGGGGGGGGGGGGGGGGGGGGGGGGGGGGGGGGGGGGGGGGGGGGGGGGGGGGGGGGGGGGGGGGGGGGGGGGGGGGGGGGGGGGGGGGGGGGGGGGGGGGGGGGGGGGGGGGGGGGGGGGGGGGGGGGGGGGGGGGGGGGGGGGGGGGGGGGGGGGGGGGGGGGGGGGGGGGGGGGGGGGGGGGGGGGGGGGGGGGGGGGGGGGGGGGGGGGGGGGGGGGGGGGGGGGGGGGGGGGGGGGGGGGGGGGGGGGGGGGGGGGGGGGGGGGGGGGGGGGGGGGGGGGGGGGGGGGGGGGGGGGGGGGGGGGGGGGGGGGGGGGGGGGGGGGGGGGGGGGGGGGGGGGGGGGGGGGGGGGGGGGGGGGGGGGGGGGGGGGGGGGGGGGGGGGGGGGGGGGGGGGGGGGGGGGGGGGGGGGGGGGGGGGGGGGGGGGGGGGGGGGGGGGGGGGGGGGGGGGGGGGGGGGGGGGGGGGGGGGGGGGGGGGGGGGGGGGGGGGGGGGGGGGGGGGGGGGGGGGGGGGGGGGGGGGGGGGGGGGGGGGGGGGGGGGGGGGGGGGGGGGGGGGGGGGGGGGGGGGGGGGGGGGGGGGGGGGGGGGGGGGGGGGGGGGGGGGGGGGGGGGGGGGGGGGGGGGGGGGGGGGGGGGGGGGGGGGGGGGGGGGGGGGGGGGGGGGGGGGGGGGGGGGGGGGGGGGGGGGGGGGGGGGGGGGGGGGGGGGGGGGGGGGGGGGGGGGGGGGGGGGGGGGGGGGGGGGGGGGGGGGGGGGGGGGGGGGGGGGGGGGGGGGGGGGGGGGGGGGGGGGGGGGGGGGGGGGGGGGGGGGGGGGGGGGGGGGGGGGGGGGGGGGGGGGGGGGGGGGGGGGGGGGGGGGGGGGGGGGGGGGGGGGGGGGGGGGGGGGGGGGGGGGGGGGGGGGGGGGGGGGGGGGGGGGGGGGGGGGGGGGGGGGGGGGGGGGGGGGGGGGGGGGGGGGGGGGGGGGGGGGGGGGGGGGGGGGGGGGGGGGGGGGGGGGGGGGGGGGGGGGGGGGGGGGGGGGGGGGGGGGGGGGGGGGGGGGGGGGGGGGGGGGGGGGGGGGGGGGGGGGGGGGGGGGGGGGGGGGGGGGGGGGGGGGGGGGGGGGGGGGGGGGGGGGGGGGGGGGGGGGGGGGGGGGGGGGGGGGGGGGGGGGGGGGGGGGGGGGGGGGGGGGGGGGGGGGGGGGGGGGGGGGGGGGGGGGGGGGGGGGGGGGGGGGGGGGGGGGGGGGGGGGGGGGGGGGGGGGGGGGGGGGGGGGGGGGGGGGGGGGGGGGGGGGGGGGGGGGGGGGGGGGGGGGGGGGGGGGGGGGGGGGGGGGGGGGGGGGGGGGGGGGGGGGGGGGGGGGGGGGGGGGGGGGGGGGGGGGGGGGGGGGGGGGGGGGGGGGGGGGGGGGGGGGGGGGGGGGGGGGGGGGGGGGGGGGGGGGGGGGGGGGGGGGGGGGGGGGGGGGGGGGGGGGGGGGGGGGGGGGGGGGGGGGGGGGGGGGGGGGGGGGGGGGGGGGGGGGGGGGGGGGGGGGGGGGGGGGGGGGGGGGGGGGGGGGGGGGGGGGGGGGGGGGGGGGGGGGGGGGGGGGGGGGGGGGGGGGGGGGGGGGGGGGGGGGGGGGGGGGGGGGGGGGGGGGGGGGGGGGGGGGGGGGGGGGGGGGGGGGGGGGGGGGGGGGGGGGGGGGGGGGGGGGGGGGGGGGGGGGGGGGGGGGGGGGGGGGGGGGGGGGGGGGGGGGGGGGGGGGGGGGGGGGGGGGGGGGGGGGGGGGGGGGGGGGGGGGGGGGGGGGGGGGGGGGGGGGGGGGGGGGGGGGGGGGGGGGGGGGGGGGGGGGGGGGGGGGGGGGGGGGGGGGGGGGGGGGGGGGGGGGGGGGGGGGGGGGGGGGGGGGGGGGGGGGGGGGGGGGGGGGGGGGGGGGGGGGGGGGGGGGGGGGGGGGGGGGGGGGGGGGGGGGGGGGGGGGGGGGGGGGGGGGGGGGGGGGGGGGGGGGGGGGGGGGGGGGGGGGGGGGGGGGGGGGGGGGGGGGGGGGGGGGGGGGGGGGGGGGGGGGGGGGGGGGGGGGGGGGGGGGGGGGGGGGGGGGGGGGGGGGGGGGGGGGGGGGGGGGGGGGGGGGGGGGGGGGGGGGGGGGGGGGGGGGGGGGGGGGGGGGGGGGGGGGGGGGGGGGGGGGGGGGGGGGGGGGGGGGGGGGGGGGGGGGGGGGGGGGGGGGGGGGGGGGGGGGGGGGGGGGGGGGGGGGGGGGGGGGGGGGGGGGGGGGGGGGGGGGGGGGGGGGGGGGGGGGGGGGGGGGGGGGGGGGGGGGGGGGGGGGGGGGGGGGGGGGGGGGGGGGGGGGGGGGGGGGGGGGGGGGGGGGGGGGGGGGGGGGGGGGGGGGGGGGGGGGGGGGGGGGGGGGGGGGGGGGGGGGGGGGGGGGGGGGGGGGGGGGGGGGGGGGGGGGGGGGGGGGGGGGGGGGGGGGGGGGGGGGGGGGGGGGGGGGGGGGGGGGGGGGGGGGGGGGGGGGGGGGGGGGGGGGGGGGGGGGGGGGGGGGGGGGGGGGGGGGGGGGGGGGGGGGGGGGGGGGGGGGGGGGGGGGGGGGGGGGGGGGGGGGGGGGGGGGGGGGGGGGGGGGGGGGGGGGGGGGGGGGGGGGGGGGGGGGGGGGGGGGGGGGGGGGGGGGGGGGGGGGGGGGGGGGGGGGGGGGGGGGGGGGGGGGGGGGGGGGGGGGGGGGGGGGGGGGGGGGGGGGGGGGGGGGGGGGGGGGGGGGGGGGGGGGGGGGGGGGGGGGGGGGGGGGGGGGGGGGGGGGGGGGGGGGGGGGGGGGGGGGGGGGGGGGGGGGGGGGGGGGGGGGGGGGGGGGGGGGGGGGGGGGGGGGGGGGGGGGGGGGGGGGGGGGGGGGGGGGGGGGGGGGGGGGGGGGGGGGGGGGGGGGGGGGGGGGGGGGGGGGGGGGGGGGGGGGGGGGGGGGGGGGGGGGGGGGGGGGGGGGGGGGGGGGGGGGGGGGGGGGGGGGGGGGGGGGGGGGGGGGGGGGGGGGGGGGGGGGGGGGGGGGGGGGGGGGGGGGGGGGGGGGGGGGGGGGGGGGGGGGGGGGGGGGGGGGGGGGGGGGGGGGGGGGGGGGGGGGGGGGGGGGGGGGGGGGGGGGGGGGGGGGGGGGGGGGGGGGGGGGGGGGGGGGGGGGGGGGGGGGGGGGGGGGGGGGGGGGGGGGGGGGGGGGGGGGGGGGGGGGGGGGGGGGGGGGGGGGGGGGGGGGGGGGGGGGGGGGGGGGGGGGGGGGGGGGGGGGGGGGGGGGGGGGGGGGGGGGGGGGGGGGGGGGGGGGGGGGGGGGGGGGGGGGGGGGGGGGGGGGGGGGGGGGGGGGGGGGGGGGGGGGGGGGGGGGGGGGGGGGGGGGGGGGGGGGGGGGGGGGGGGGGGGGGGGGGGGGGGGGGGGGGGGGGGGGGGGGGGGGGGGGGGGGGGGGGGGGGGGGGGGGGGGGGGGGGGGGGGGGGGGGGGGGGGGGGGGGGGGGGGGGGGGGGGGGGGGGGGGGGGGGGGGGGGGGGGGGGGGGGGGGGGGGGGGGGGGGGGGGGGGGGGGGGGGGGGGGGGGGGGGGGGGGGGGGGGGGGGGGGGGGGGGGGGGGGGGGGGGGGGGGGGGGGGGGGGGGGGGGGGGGGGGGGGGGGGGGGGGGGGGGGGGGGGGGGGGGGGGGGGGGGGGGGGGGGGGGGGGGGGGGGGGGGGGGGGGGGGGGGGGGGGGGGGGGGGGGGGGGGGGGGGGGGGGGGGGGGGGGGGGGGGGGGGGGGGGGGGGGGGGGGGGGGGGGGGGGGGGGGGGGGGGGGGGGGGGGGGGGGGGGGGGGGGGGGGGGGGGGGGGGGGGGGGGGGGGGGGGGGGGGGGGGGGGGGGGGGGGGGGGGGGGGGGGGGGGGGGGGGGGGGGGGGGGGGGGGGGGGGGGGGGGGGGGGGGGGGGGGGGGGGGGGGGGGGGGGGGGGGGGGGGGGGGGGGGGGGGGGGGGGGGGGGGGGGGGGGGGGGGGGGGGGGGGGGGGGGGGGGGGGGGGGGGGGGGGGGGGGGGGGGGGGGGGGGGGGGGGGGGGGGGGGGGGGGGGGGGGGGGGGGGGGGGGGGGGGGGGGGGGGGGGGGGGGGGGGGGGGGGGGGGGGGGGGGGGGGGGGGGGGGGGGGGGGGGGGGGGGGGGGGGGGGGGGGGGGGGGGGGGGGGGGGGGGGGGGGGGGGGGGGGGGGGGGGGGGGGGGGGGGGGGGGGGGGGGGGGGGGGGGGGGGGGGGGGGGGGGGGGGGGGGGGGGGGGGGGGGGGGGGGGGGGGGGGGGGGGGGGGGGGGGGGGGGGGGGGGGGGGGGGGGGGGGGGGGGGGGGGGGGGGGGGGGGGGGGGGGGGGGGGGGGGGGGGGGGGGGGGGGGGGGGGGGGGGGGGGGGGGGGGGGGGGGGGGGGGGGGGGGGGGGGGGGGGGGGGGGGGGGGGGGGGGGGGGGGGGGGGGGGGGGGGGGGGGGGGGGGGGGGGGGGGGGGGGGGGGGGGGGGGGGGGGGGGGGGGGGGGGGGGGGGGGGGGGGGGGGGGGGGGGGGGGGGGGGGGGGGGGGGGGGGGGGGGGGGGGGGGGGGGGGGGGGGGGGGGGGGGGGGGGGGGGGGGGGGGGGGGGGGGGGGGGGGGGGGGGGGGGGGGGGGGGGGGGGGGGGGGGGGGGGGGGGGGGGGGGGGGGGGGGGGGGGGGGGGGGGGGGGGGGGGGGGGGGGGGGGGGGGGGGGGGGGGGGGGGGGGGGGGGGGGGGGGGGGGGGGGGGGGGGGGGGGGGGGGGGGGGGGGGGGGGGGGGGGGGGGGGGGGGGGGGGGGGGGGGGGGGGGGGGGGGGGGGGGGGGGGGGGGGGGGGGGGGGGGGGGGGGGGGGGGGGGGGGGGGGGGGGGGGGGGGGGGGGGGGGGGGGGGGGGGGGGGGGGGGGGGGGGGGGGGGGGGGGGGGGGGGGGGGGGGGGGGGGGGGGGGGGGGGGGGGGGGGGGGGGGGGGGGGGGGGGGGGGGGGGGGGGGGGGGGGGGGGGGGGGGGGGGGGGGGGGGGGGGGGGGGGGGGGGGGGGGGGGGGGGGGGGGGGGGGGGGGGGGGGGGGGGGGGGGGGGGGGGGGGGGGGGGGGGGGGGGGGGGGGGGGGGGGGGGGGGGGGGGGGGGGGGGGGGGGGGGGGGGGGGGGGGGGGGGGGGGGGGGGGGGGGGGGGGGGGGGGGGGGGGGGGGAAGGGAGGGGGGGGGGGGGGGGGGGGGGAGGACAGTATATATTAAAATTTAGAGTCAAATATAGAGAAACTATTTTATACATATGCTGCTTCTTTCTTTTTTTCTATTTTAAGTTAAGGAGGGGCATGTGACCATCTTGGGCCCATACTCCCTCCCCCACTAGGTCTGATGGTTAACAAAGAGAACATGTTATTGGTCTTAGGATAGAAAGATCACCACCCTCTCTGCATTGCCAGATTGGCAAGTCATAGAGAGACAATAGACAACGACTCCAAAAATTATACCAATGAGACTATACTTCCAAAATTATATCACATATTCAGACTAATCTACCCCGGGTCTTAAAACATAGGAATCCTTATCTTCTATAACCTTCCACCATTTAGAACAAGGCAACCTTCGTTTACCCCATTATGACATGTGTTTGCTAATAGATACATCGCCAAATGCCTTCGATACAAGTGTCACGGGACTTCCCTATTAAGTGTTTTATAGACCAGCCAAAATGAGCCAAATATTTCACGTGCTGATTACCAAGTTTCTCAAGTATAATGAGGGACAAAAATGTGCATCTAAAAGAGCCAAACTTACCTTGGGATTACTAGGGTTGAAACCCCACACAGAATCTACATCATCATTATTGTCAAAGGTACCCCAAGATGGCTCATCAAAACTTCTGTTCACAAAGGATAAGACTTAAAACCACCAAAATTATGTAAGGAACGTACAGGAACAACAGACAGGTATGAGAAGTGATGAGAAAAAAAATATGAATCAACCCCCATACCTATGGGTTTCCGCATCTGCTTCGGGGCTCTTTTTGAAATGGTTATCTGAATATTCTCGAGATGGACTTTCGAATGCTGTATGTCTTGCTGGACTGCTAGATGGACTTTTTCCTGATTCGTCTTCACTATGAGTGTATGCTGATTCACTTTCGCAGGCACGTTCACCTTTACTGAAAAGTTTATCTGACATGTTGTCATCAGCATGTGACATCAAATCAGGGGACAAACTACCATTTGGAGAATAATTTTCTTTCTCAGCAGATGTGGATTTGGTTTTGGGCGGCATGGCAACATCAAATGAAAATCCTGCAAGTAAAAGACAATGCATCAGGATGTATATGCAATTCATAGATTTACCAGTCAACTCTTGCGTTATTAAATAAAAGATTGAGGCATTTGCAGTATAGTCAGAGGCATTTTCAAAAGAAAAGAAAAAAATACAAGAGCTCATGAAGCTTCATGTCAAGAACTAAAAATGTCTTCTACCTTCATCTTTGAACTTATCCCAATCTTCATCCCAAACAGATGATATCTCTGGGATTCCAGGTTGCCAGCCTAAAATTGATAAATACAAACATAAAAGGTCGTAAGTATACAACGGGCATCCAAGTACAATAATCAAAATATTGAGAAACAATTAGAAAAGTTTCTTAAAGGACAGTTGGCCATCCAGTATGATCCGAATCATCCAAAGATGATCCTAGTCATCCAAAGATTTGAGATTGAGTCCTGCTTCCAACGGGCTTGAGAAATTTTACGTATTTGAGAGGGCTACCCCCAATGCATAGCCCATTGGTTTTGCAGCACCCTCTTCCCCCACAAACTGCCCTTCCCCCCACCCCCCAACAATATATATATATATAGCAGCCCCCAAAACACTATGAAAAACAAATAAATGAGCGCGCAAACGTGTGAGAGAGAAATTTTCCTTGAAAAGCTATCGAAGTAGTAGATCGGACAGATTGATTATAATGTGCAGAGAAAGCTCCAACTTCAACATAATAATTTACTTCACTATTTGTATAGGAAAAGTGGGCTAATTTACTTCAACATAACCAATTCTATAATAAGTACGCTAGATTACCGAGAGAGACAGAGAGTTGGATTCATACATAGAAAGTAGCTTACCAATTATGAATCTCGATTATGAGTCGATCGAAATCTTCATCAACAGTCGATCGAAATCTTCATCAACAAATCGATCAAAATCTTCAAATCTTGAGAGTGAGATTCAAGCGAGATTCAAATTTACTTGAGTGAGAGAGATTTGGACAGTGAGATTCAAGCGAGAGAGAGTTGAGCGAGAGAGAGAGATTAGGCAACAACAGGAAATGAGGTACACCACCGTTGGAGACAAATTTGGGAAATAAGAGTGAAGAGGGGAGATAGGTCTAGTTTTAGATGATTTTTTTTTTTTTTAAGTTAAGAAGAACACGATTGGGTTAAATGATTTTGTGATTTTTTTAATGTAAAAACTGATTTTTTGTGATGGTTAAATAATCAGTCGCAAAAATATAGACGCAAAAAGTCATATTTCTAGTAGTGAGTGGTAGTGGAGTAGTGGCGATGGTGATAATAATGGTAGTCGGGGAGGTGGAGTGGCAATAGTGGTAGTAGTGGTGGTAGTGGAATGGAATTTGCAATAGTGGTGAAAGTGGTAGAGGAGATGAGTGGTGAGAGAGATAGAGAGATGAGTGAGAGACAGATTGAGAAGAGAGATGGAGAGAGACAGAGACAGAAAGAGAGTGATGAGCGAGAGAAAGAGACAAAGTGGTTGCCAAAAGTGCATTTTCTTGTAGTGGATCGATAAATCGAGAGGGAGCTCGGTAAATAGAGAAGATAGGAGGGAGAGAATGAGCAAGATGAACACAGTGAAAGGAGAGAAAGAGAGAGAGAGAGAGAGAGAGAGACAAACAAATAGACAGGCAGGCAAACAGAGAGAGAAAGACGGAGAGAAAAGTGATGAGTGAGAGAGAGAGAGAGAGAGAGAGAGAGAGAAATAAGAGATGAGCGAGAGATAGACAGAAAGAGAGAGAAAGAGAGCGAAAAGAGATGAACGAGAGAGAGACATAGAAAAAAAAGAGACAGAGAAAGAAAAGAGATGAGCGAGAGAGATAAAGATAGAGAAGAGAAATGATAGAAATAGAGAGAAGAGAGATGAACGGGAGAGATAGAAAAAGGGAGAGAGAGAGAGAGAAGAGAGATGAGCGAGAAAGACAGAGAGAGAAGAGAGATGAGTGTGTGTGTGAGAGAGAGAGAGAGAGAGAGAGATAAATAGATAGATAGATAGACAAACAGACAGATGGAGAAGAGTGATGAGTGAGAGAGAGAAACAAAAGAAAGAGAGAGAGAGAGAGACAGGAAGATGAAAAAATAGGTGAAAAGAGAAATATTATATCAAAAGAGTAAGACGACGTCGTTTTTTTTTTTTTTTTTTTGCCATAGAAAAATACTGTTGTATTTATTCAAACCATTTTGTGATTGTATATATATGAAGCCATCTCAAAGCCATAATATTTTTTTTTTTACTTTTTTTTTGCAATGGTACCTATTACAGTTGCAAAACACTCACATTTTTTTTTTGCGACTACAGTTGATGTCATCGCAAAAACTCTATTTTTTCGCGACAACAATCTTTTCCGTCGCAAATATTCTCCTTTTTCGAGACAACTTTTTCTGCCGTCACAAATGCTCTATTTTTCCATGACAGCAAATCGTGCCATTACAAAAACTCACCTTTTTCGGACAGCAAATTGTGCCGCCGCAAAAACTCATCTTTTTCGCGACAACAAGTTGTGCCGTCTCAAAAAGTCACTTTTGAGACGATAAGTGTGCCGTCGCAAATGCTTCCGTCTTTTAAGCCCATTTTTCTTGTAGTGAATGTACACCTTTTGAGTTAAAAAAATAAACCCTTGTTTTTTTTTCTTCTTTCCATTGTTGTCTAGGTGAGAGTAGTTTTCCTAGAGATGATTCGATTCCCTCTATCATCCAATGCAACCCATGTTTTTTTAGAATGGTGCTGATTCCATGCTACATCTATAACAAACCTGTCAGAGAGTGGATTTGGGGAGCATTGTGCATTGTTATATTAGTAATAAAAATAGAATTCAAACCATCATAAACTACCATATTAATTTGTGGTGACTACAATTTGAAAATCTGTTTACTGCAATCCCAATTCATGTGGTTAATTGCGAAATGGAGGTGATTTCGGTTTTAATTTGGAGAACCAATGTTGAATTTATGTATTAAATTCGGATATAAACTGCTGAAATATATTTACTTGCTTCATTTGGAATGTAACTGTCGAATATTATAACTATTTTTTCAATCGATCTATAACAGTTTATTCGATTGTTGATTTCCGAAGTTGGTGCACAAATTCGGCAAACCAATGCTGACATCCCCAACCCGTGAACAAGATGGAAAAATCAAGGATTTTATGGCAATGGAGTGTACAAAGATCTGAAAACGATAAGATGTAATAACAAAATGATAAATATAAAAACAAAATGGGAAGATTCCTTACCTTTAACACTATTTTAGAGGTTTTCAATGGAGATTTTTATGGAGATCTTCCATTGATGGCTTCAATGAATTCACTTCAGACATTGGAGGTTTTCGCTTCAATGGAGGGCTTCAAGTTCACAGGTAGCTCAAGAATGTGGTCTTCAGACTAGTGTTCAAGCTTCACGTGGGTGAAAGTTTTTTGGTCTTCAAGTTTTCAAAAAGTGTGTGAAAAGAAGGGGTAAATATGTATACAATAATATTTGAATGAAGGATATGATTGTAATTTTTAGTGTGTGGATTGAGAAAAAACAATCAATAAATAAATTAACAAGTGTGTGTATTAAGAAAAGATTTGCTCTGAGTTATTTAGGTGTGTGGAAATAGAATTTTTCCTTTTTTAGTCTATTTTGTCTTTTTATAGATAAAAAAATGTGAGAGGTGATGTGATCCAAAATAATTAAAAAGGTAAAAATTAACTTTTTTTTGGCTTCCCAAAAGACTACAGTTGTTTACAGTGAGCTAAATAAGTTACCTTTTTTTTTATTTTTTTTTTGTCTTTAGTAACTTTTTTAAAATTATAAAACAATTTTAAAAGTAAAAAAATTAAACATTTATAAAAAAAGTTTAAAAAGTCAAAATAAGTCAAAAGAATCTTCTTCTTTATTATTATTACTAGCGTATGCTCGTAAATAATTTTAAGATTAAAATGCAGTTATAATTTATACGTATTATGTTGAAATTTATAAAGTTTGTGTCATTTTTTGATAAAAATACTAAAAAAATATATTGAAATATTTTTCTTCTTAAAGAACTTATAACAATTTTGCTTGTATTACACGCTCTACAAAACTCAAATAAAATAACAACTCCCCCTAATCTTAATACAAATTAAGAAACAAACATATAAGATTTAAAGTTATATTGCATATCAAAATATAAAAGGCAATAAAAAAAAGTGTAAACACTGAACAAAAAATAGAAATAAAGTTATATTGTCATACACCAAAAGAGTAGGTTAAAACTTTACAAAAGATATATGTTTTACAAAAGATGTGTCACTAACATGTCATACACCAAAAATTATATTGTCATACACCAAAAATATGTATGCTTTACAAAAGATGTGTCAACAACATGTCTTCAAATATGTGTTTGCCCAAACTTCCTCCTCATTACTTTCCAAAAAGTCTTTGTATCAACTTTTATGTATCTCCAATGAGAAATATGCACAACAATCTGGTAATTTATGGAAACAAAAAAAATATAGATTAGTACATTTGTTAGAAATATACATGTCAAAATACTTTAAGATTGAAATTACCTTATTACAACCCCATCGAAGCAAGCTAGTCGTATTTCTCCTTTTAAGCTCCATAGATTTTTCGGTCCAATCCTACAAAAGTCCAAATTTCAAATTATTATTAACTTGAAATTTTTTAAAAAGTTATATAATCAACATAAATAAATCTACATGGTTACATTCTAATAAAATGTCATTTAATCTGCATAGAATACTACAGCAACACTTCAGAATAAACAATATTTGTAGTAGAATCCAAACTATCTTTAGGGAGGAGAATACTTATACGATCAAAGGATGTACATCTAGACAATGCCACATATAATTGCCCATGGCTAAACACTGGTATACGCAAATCAACCCCAACAAATTTCACAGATTGTCCTTGAGATTTATTAATGGTCAAGGCATATGCCAATCGAATTGGAAATTGACGTCTTGTCATTTGGAAAGGCATTTCTGAAGAAGATGGTGTCAAAGATATCCTTGGTATGAATGCCAAATTGCCAAACTTTTCTCTAGTTAAAATTTGAGCTTCAATTATGCGAGTGCCGCGCCTAGTAACCATCAATCTTGTACCATTACATAGTCCATCTTTCGGTGCAATGTTTCTCAACAATATTATAGGACAACCCGCT